TATTTTTTGTTTCCTCTAAAGTGTGAAAGTTTATGTACTGTACTACTTTGTTCGTGAGACGGTACAATTTTAACACTGAACCACTAGAATGGTGTTTAGCGTTAGTAAGTGATTATGGGAAGGGATAATCATGTTCGACGATTTTTGCTTCAGAGAAGATATTGTACTGCTCGAAGAACTAAGAAAAATCTCCAATTCAGACCGAGCTTTGACAAGGAGCAAACTCAGTTTCGTTCTCTCCATTTGTTAATGGGATTAAAATTACTGAGTTAGCTGACAAGTACGTTGAATTTGTAAAAACATCTGTTTTCATGCTAAATCGATCCATTCCAACACACTTGACAGCTGATGCAATAATTTCAATCCCATTAACAACAAATAGAGAGAATGAAACTGAGTTTGCTCCTTGTCAAAACTTGGTTTGAATTGGCGATTCTTCTTAATTCAATTCTTAATAGCAAAAAAACAATGATCTTTATAAGTGACACTGGGAATTGGTGCATTCTTACTCGAAACCTGTCACCGCTTTATACCAGTAATGGTATTGATTGATTTTTATTTTCGTAACAACAAGACTGACAGTTTGAACATGTGAACGCAGATAAACATACAATAAAAATAGCAGGTGTTAATTTACATCAAAAACCGGTTACCGGAAAAGCAAAAGAAGTGCGATGCATCTATAAACCTTGCTACCCTTTTCATAGTTGGAGATGTTGCCTTAATTTTATTTTAAAACTTCTAATAGTGGTAGATGAGACAACTGCTTCTGATAGAGTTTGATTCCAATCTCGAGCTATTTGATATAAAAGAGATGGTAAAACAGTCTCCGTCCGAGAAAAAGGAACTTCTATCTGTCCTGAGTGTTGGTCTAACCTGTTTGCTCTTCTTGCTGTATCTAACCGACTTAGACTCAGTCGAGAAAGTGACGAGTGCCCATTTAGAATTTTGAAAAATAGTAAAAGGCGAAAATATTTTCTTCGTACCTCTAGTGGAGGCAACCTGAAACCGGATACAAGATCTTTCCCGATGTATCAAAATCTCGTGTGATCGTGTGTGCCGCAAGTTTTTGTACAGATTCAAGTGAATTCTCTAATGTCTCGAAATTACTATCAAACAGAGAGTTGTAAGATGGAATGTTCTCCCTTCCTTCCACTATTAAAACCACAGCAACATCAAATAAGAGATTACAAAAAGCTTGTACGTCTATAAGCGAGACTATTTTCAGATGACTCATCATTTTACGATTTAATTTTATCTCAGCGTCCGTTATCTAATATTCTATAGAAGATGTCCTCAGAATTTTGCACAAATAAATTTAAAACGTACGGAATTATTTTCATGTTCGTAAAATGTGGTTTGGATTTTTGTACAATTCTGTCATAAGCCCGAGTAAACCAATAAGCCTAACTATATGGAGTGGAAAAGTTTGTGAAATCGGCAATGCTTGAGAAATTGTTACAGAAACGTATTTCACTTAAAATTGTACTTAGTTACGTGCATTCAACGTTGGTTTTATTTTAATACTACAAACTGATTATATTACCAAATATTTAGCCTATTGATTTTAGCTCGTAAAATATAGTTTACATACACATAGACTGCATTACTTACTCACCGACAGAAAAAGTATGTCAACATTAGATATCACTACGTTCCTTCTTAACAATTTAGGATTTATTCAAATTGTGAAAACTCATTTGATTTAATTCTCTTTTCTTTTAGCTCGTTCAAAAATGGGCCATGCTGTTGCCATTCCATGCGTATTTGTTTGTTTTACGATCTATTTATATATTTTATCTATCAATGGACCGTCTTTGAATACCGAGGAGAATACAAAGTAAAAATTGTTTTTACAAATATAACTGATTAAGAAGATCGGCTTAGTTTTACCACAATATGTTTGTACATATGTTTACTGGACAATCACTCATGTCCTTTGTTAATAACATGAGAAGAATTCAATACAAAAAGAAATACTAACCATACAAAAACACTTGTTACTCGATTGATAATGATCCACACCATTTCATTCTATAATCCTTGTTCAAAATAAAAATGACTTGAACATTTATTTCTAAATTTTTTTGTAGTTTTGATTGTATCCAGCACTTATGACAGAAATTTTTAAAGCAAATTATTATATCAACAATTTATCTAACCTTTCATTATGTTAAAATACTCGATGTTTCAAAAATACAATGCTCATTTTCACAAAATTGTACACAGAAATCTTAAACGATCCATTTGAAATTGAAATTGTGTTTTTGAAATATTGAATATTTTATATAACTTAATGAAAGCTTAGGTAAATTGCTGATATAATAATTTTCCTACTTACACTAATACCACTAAATGAATCATTTATAGATTTATATTAAAAAAAAAATTTACTTCGATATTCTTTCAAATAATCTATCTACACATTCACATTTAACTTTTAATTTATTTAGATTCGCCGTTCGTTTTCCGCGAAGTTTAGACGATCTTAAAGCACTATCCGTTATACTTCAACATTATCGTGATGTTAATCTTGGATATGTTTTATTATTATTCTGTTCCGCTTATATTTATAAACAAACATTTGCCATTCCCGGAAGTATTTTGATGGTAAGAAATAACAATTAATAAAGATTATGATATTAAAAACGTATGTTTTCATTTTTCTCAAGATAGAATCTGCTTGGTGGTGCACTTTTTGGCGTCACATTTGGTTTTCCACTTTGTTGTCTCTTAACAGCAATTGGCGCTAGTGTATGTTATACATTGATCTATTGTTTTGCACGTGATTTTGTGATGCGATGTTGTCATAAAAAAATTATTTTGTTTCAAACAAAAGTATGTGAAAATAAAACTGAATTTTGAAATTAAAATAATAGTTTCTTTATATTTTAGGTTGAAACTGCTCGTCATAATTTATTTTTTATGCTTCTATTTATGCGTATGGTACCGATGTCACCCAATTGGCTCATAAACATAGCATGTCCAATAGTCAATGTACCAAAAAGAATATTTTTCTTTTCTGTGTTATTCGGTACCGTCTGCCACAGTCGTTTTTATTTATGTTATTATTATTATAAATTTTTTTTCATTTAGGTTTAATGCCATATAATTTTATTTCAATTCAAATGGGTTCATTTCTTTCACAATTGAACAGTCTCGATGATTTTTTTACATGGAAAACATTTGTTAGTTTAGGATTGATTGCATCCGTTGTTGGTATAACAGGACTGATTGTTGCCCGAGTGAGAAGAAAAATACCACAAGCAATTGTCGAATAATAATTATTTATTTTAATATGTACAAAAAGAAATACTAACCATACAAAAACACTTGTTACTCGATTGATAATGATCCACACCATTTCATTCTATAATCCTTGTTCAAAATAAAAATGACTTGAACATTTATTTCTAAATTTTTTTGTAGTTTTGATTGTATCCAGCACTTATGACAGAAATTTTTAAAGCAAATTATTATATCAACAATTTATCTAACCTTTCATTATGTTAAAATACTCGATGTTTCAAAAATACAATGCTCATTTTCACAAAATTGTACACAGAAATCTTAAACGATCCATTTGAAATTGAAATTGTGTTTTTGAAATATTGAATATTTTATATAACTTAATGAAAGCTTAGGTAAATTGCTGATATAATAATTTTCCTACTTACACTAATACCACTAAATGAATCATTTATAGATTTATATTAAAAAAAAAATTTACTTCGATATTCTTTCAAATAATCTATCTACACATTCACATTTAACTTTTAATTTATTTAGATTCGCCGTTCGTTTTCCGCGAAGTTTAGACGATCTTAAAGCACTATCCGTTATACTTCAACATTATCGTGATGTTAATCTTGGATATGTTTTATTATTATTCTGTTCCGCTTATATTTATAAACAAACATTTGCCATTCCCGGAAGTATTTTGATGGTAAGAAATAACAATTAATAAAGATTATGATATTAAAAACGTATGTTTTCATTTTTCTCAAGATAGAATCTGCTTGGTGGTGCACTTTTTGGCGTCACATTTGGTTTTCCACTTTGTTGTCTCTTAACAGCAATTGGCGCTAGTGTATGTTATACATTGATCTATTGTTTTGCACGTGATTTTGTGATGCGATGTTGTCATAAAAAAATTATTTTGTTTCAAACAAAAGTATGTGAAAATAAAACTGAATTTTGAAATTAAAATAATAGTTTCTTTATATTTTAGGTTGAAACTGCTCGTCATAATTTATTTTTTATGCTTCTATTTATGCGTATGGTACCGATGTCACCCAATTGGCTCATAAACATAGCATGTCCAATAGTCAATGTACCAAAAAGAATATTTTTCTTTTCTGTGTTATTCGGTACCGTCTGCCACAGTCGTTTTTATTTATGTTATTATTATTATAAATTTTTTTTCATTTAGGTTTAATGCCATATAATTTTATTTCAATTCAAATGGGTTCATTTCTTTCACAATTGAACAGTCTCGATGATTTTTTTACATGGAAAACATTTGTTAGTTTAGGATTGATTGCATCCGTTGTTGGTATAACAGGACTGATTGTTGCCCGAGTGAGAAGAAAAATACCACAAGCAATTGTCGAATAATAATTATTTATTTTAATATGTATAAGTCAAAAATAGTTTACTTTTTATTTTTATGTTCCAGTTAATCTATAGTTCCAATTTTACTTTTGTTAGTTGTTTTTATAAAAAAATTGTGATTAATTAAAACAAGATTTCCGTTTTGGAAGCAAGAAGCAAATTGTCTATCAGAGAACAAGTATATCAGATTGAAACCATCAGTTACTATTAACGAAACGATTCCAAACGAATTTTGAATTTTTCAAAGTTTTCGAAACATCATTGGATCTTGATTTCTTTCATGTATTACTTGAATGTACTTCCGAGTGGGTACTTGTTTACTTGCACATTACCATGACAAGCACCTGACAAGTATTTTCAAAAAATACTACTTGATAAATGCTTGAAAGCACTTGCTAGGCACTTGATTTACTTATTGAACCTACCACAAGTACTTGGGTAAGTGCTTGACAAAGGACTTGACAAGAAGTTAAAGTACTTCAAGTATTTGATTTACTTGCAAAAAAGCCCAAGAATGTTGAACAAAACACGTAAGGGTACTTGACCAAGCACTTGCATGCAAGTACATTTACAAGGGGAGTGATCTACTAATAAAAATGAACAAATTGCTGAACAGTAATGTAAAGAATCTTCTGTTCAATCACTATATGAACTATTAAATTTCGACAATAATATCTTTGCTTCAAAACTGAATCATATTGAACTAAAAGTTATCAATGTCCTGAAATAGATGATAATTAATGATCTGTTAATTAAATGTGCTAACGATATCATTTTATGAATACACATTCCAAAGAAATCAGCCTTGCTAAAAGTCTTTTTACAAACGATGCCAAGGACAAATATGATCTTAAGATGCAAACGTTAAGAAAGTACTTTCATAAAGGAAAAAATTTGATTTTACTACGAACGGATCCGGTCAAAATTTCTGAATTGTTATGGGCCAGACCGAACTGAGTGTGAATTTTGGAAATTTCTATGGACCGATTAAACCATCTTGAAGCTTTTAGCGTGCGGAACGAGCGACAAAAAACGATCTGTGACGATCTCCAGTATTGATTTTTTAGTCAGAAAAGACGATTTTGAGAAATATACATGATTAGAGAGTCTAAAGTCCCGTCTTTCGAATACACTAAGTTTTATGTCCTCTGGAATTCGATTTGACGGTTTTCTAGCGAGATTTCTAGAAAACCTATGGCTAATGTTTTATGTGATAAAATAGTAGGCAGTTTTAGGAAAAAATGTCTGCAAAAGTGCATGGATATGCGGTACATGTACAGACAAATGCGCATCGAAATCACCGCGGTTGAAAACCTATAGGAATATACCAGCAACCGTTTGATCTCACAGTATTGCAAACAAACGCACTCTTTGTGAACTCAAAAAAGATATTTAGCGTCTTTCTCGAAATCGCCATTTCACTTAGTAACGAATACTGATTACATGATTTCCCCGTCAAATTTATAGTGAAGAGCCCGGATTAATTTTAAATTAAAAGTAACAGTCATGGCAACGGAGCCGGATGTTTTATTTAGACTTTTGATTTTTTGATATTCAGGATTTTGCGGAAAAGATTTTCGCATGATTTGGGGGTTTTAAGGAAAATTGCTAATATATGGTTTTCAAGGAAAAATATAAAATAGCTGCTGTGTTAATTTCTACAATTCTAAATTTATTGCCCTTAAATTGTAAAAATGTTAAAAATGTAAAAAATCAGACTCTTGCACGCCGTTTCAATATCTATTTTTGGCATTTTAAAACCATCCCGAACTTTTCATCATTTAATATGTTAATATGACGTGCAACGATAATTTAAATTCACCGTGTAACGATGAATGACCCAGTTCGAGCAGTGTTTCAGCACCATCTACCGAACGCTGATAGATGGAACCTCCAAATCCTTACGATAATTAACACGTTGATAACCGGTAAAAATCGTTTACGTCGTTACAAGGACGAGTTTTCTCGTCACCGGTCATCAATGTGTTAACTATTTCTAGACATGGTCTACATCCCTGAAACTTAAGTTAAAATCGGACTAAAACTGACTGTAAAACTGAAATAGCTTTCTGACAGAGGGACCTTCAGAAAAGTTATTTCGTTCTCTTAAATCGCTACGTTGACATACCCTAGTCGATTCTCCCCCTCAAAGCCCCCGAGGACTGCCCGAAAAATGCATAATCCCCGAGGACTCCCTAGGGAATCCCCCTCAATGTCCCTGGGGAGTCCCTAAAAATGTGTACTCCTCGGGAGTCCCTGTCAACTCCACATTGACCTTTTGTTTTGCAGACAGACAATATATAAATATAATATAGTTCTATCATAAAATTTTACGAATTTTCTTCTAGAAAGTCAATATTAATGTATCAACCTCCGATGGCTGATATGTGCTACACTGGTACCAGTGATGGTACCTGGCACTTAATTTCTAATTAGTTATACGAAACTAAAAATGATGGACCAAAAGACCTACTCCCCAGGGATTTTTAGGGGGATTCCTCGGAGAGCCCCTGGTGACTTTCTTGGGGAGTGTCGATTAGAGTATCGATTCGCGTCTCTACATTTCAATGTTTGACTCCATTGCCATTGAACAAAACAACTCTTTCTATATATGCATCGAAAGACCAAAATCTTATCCGAGGTTCGCGCTCACTAATACTTTTATTTTCCTTTTACGATGTATTTCACAATACTATAGTATGGTGAAACACGCACGTAGAATTCTCAAACACAGTACTATTTTGCCGTATACACACATGGGAAAATTTTTCAACCCTTGTTGACTTCGTG